CTGCCCGCACCCGCTGCACGCGCACGCGCACGCCTTCCTCGCACGCCTCACTACCGCCTGCTTCAGGTAAGGGCCCCACATGGGAGTCCGTTTTTAACGGATACGACATATATATAAAAACTCTATTACAGTTATGCTCGCTTGTACAACCAACGTTCAATATGTATATATTGTAATTGTTTTCCCTGTGTACAAAGTGTAAATCTTACTAATATTATAAATGCGAAAGTTTAGATGGATGTATGGATGGATGTTTGTAAGCGTTTGTGGCCTAAACGGCTGAACGGATCTCTATGAAATTTGGCACAGGTTTAAAACATAGTCTGGAAGAACACATAGGCTACTTTTTATCCCGGGAATAGTTACGGTTCCCGTGGGATTCATTAATTTAGTTTTTTAATGTTTACCCGATTATTCTGCAACGTTTCAACATATCTTATTGAAATTTGGCACAGACATAAAACAAAGTCTGGAGTATACATGGGATAAGCTTTATCCCCGAGAAATGTCCGGTTCCCGAGGGATACGTAACTTTTTGTTATTTATATAGTTTGTATGTTTTCTAATACTACGCGGACGAAGTCGCAGGCAACGGCTCGTGAATAAATAAGTAAATAAATTTATACTCTATTCACACATAGGCACCGTATAACGTCCAACGGATCCGGCATTACTGGATCCGATGTGTGAACAGAAAACTACACGGATGGACGTTGTCGTGTTGTATTGTCGCATCACTCCCCCTCCTACACCCCGCACACAGCACCTATCCGTTAAAATTCAACGCTTAATATTTTTACTGTTCCGTGGTCCAGTATTCGATGACAAAACGGAATGTAATTTTTTTATAAAACGATATTTTTTTAATATATACAGATATCTGTGCCATGTGTGAAGTCGCTCATACTTACATACGCCATCGACGAAAAAAAAAACGTTCACGATAAAACGGAACAGTAAAACGGAGACATGTGTGAAAGCCGTAGCTCCACAAATCAACGCTAACGCATACTTTCTAATATAAACTATTGTAAACAGCTACTTATTTAGTTAGCGCGTGCAATCTTCAACTCTTTCTTTAGGTGGAATCGTGGACAATAGCTTAACAAACATAAAAGAACCAGTAATAAGAATATTTTTAATGTTGAAATTGAGAATTCCCACCCGCATATTCCCGAAACCATAAACACGTTAAGGGAACAAGAAAAAAAGGGTTCCTTCAATGTTCATCTTATACTTTATTAACTGACTAGCTGTTCCGGTGCGGCTTCATCCGCATGAAATTATAAAAAAAATATTTTATTGTTTACATTTGTCAAATTATCAACACCAAATGTCAAAATGACATGACATGATAAATCTTGACAATCTTGCTTCCTTGATGTTGGCAGCAACTTATGGTCTCTTTGCCACATTAGGGTTTTTATCCAAAAAATTTACCCCCTAAGTTTAATGGCGTGAAAATATATAGCCTAAAGCGTGACGTAAGTGTAGGGCTTTTTTTTAATATATACAAGAATATGCTGTAATTGCTGACATCTTGGCAACAATGAAGTGTGTGTTTACACTTTATTATAATAGTATAGATTGTGTGTCTTATTCTTTTTAGCATGAAATAACAGACAGTACAATATGATAATAAAACGTCATCTAACAGATTCTTATATAAAAACAATCATATTTGTGTGTATAGTATTTATTCTAATCTATACTAGTCTTGTCGACAACTTGCCCGCATGAAATTAAAATTTGAAAATAAGTAGCCTATGTGTTCTTCCAGATTATGTACATCTATGACAAATTTCATCGAAATCCGTTCAGTTTAATCTACAAACTCTAATAAACGTCCATCTAAACTATCGCACTAAAATTAGTAAGATTTGATCCAAGTTTAGCTTTTTTCAGAGTTATATTTTTTGTTATAGATACAGCAAGATATCAATGTATGACATCCAGTTTCCGCCGGAAGTGATCTCAATTAATTACGACACGAAGCGCATGCGCGACAACCTCATCGCGCAACTTAACGAACTTATGCTTAAAGGTACCTAAGTTACATTACTTCACTTCAGATATCTTTCTAAAGCTAAGATTAATATTTATTACGTCAAGTACTCATTAATTCATGATTAAATAACATTTACATAAAAATATAAAGGTTTAGTCCATATTTTTGCATTTTTAAACTTAGCATACTAAGTTGTAACTTATTAAACTATTTGGAATTCCTAGTTTGAAATTTAAAAAAAACGGGACTGAATTTGCTTTAAATACAATTTTTTATCTAAATTTAATCCGACTCGAAGGACCATATTAATATTTCAATTAAAAACTGCATCTAATAATGTTTTAACAGTTAACAGTCCGTAATATATTAAATGTGTTAATGTTCAGCGTGTATACTTGGCAGGGCACGAGACATTCAGTGGTGCGGGGGAAGGGGAGGAGAAGGAGCGGGAGTACTCCGCCTTCCGACACCATATGGATAATATCCACCTTGCGCTTACCTCTGCCAGCCTCCACGAACATGTTACACTCGCCAGTTAGTATCTCTCTCTCTCTCTTTCTCTCTCTATTCCTCTCTTGTTACCAACTATCTCTTACTCTTGTCTGAGATCAAGAATGAACTTCACTAGCCGATTGTCTAGTCTAGGTCTATGTCAGCTACGTTTAATACGGGTTTAAAAGTTTTTATATTTACTTTCAAATAGTTTAAAAAAATAAGTAACTTAAGTGATCTAGACTCTGTAACAAATATCAAAATCCGTTCAGCAGTTTAGGCTACAAATTCCATCCATCTAAAGTTTCGCTTTATAATATTAGTAAGATTTTCGAAGTCTCTAGAGGGAAGTGCCCCTCCTTGAAGATGACCTGAAGGTTACTCGAATGTGACCTCTAAAATCTATGTAATATATTTTCAACAATGAATTATGTTTTTATTTACTTTAATTATAATTTTTTGTACACTTTTAACTTTTAAATACCTGAAGTTTTATATACCGGGGTTATAAATCGCATTGGGCTACAATCGATTTTATTTTAATATGTTACCTTTGACTGATAATCTCCAAGTTAAAAAACAAAAAGCATATTACGAAAATAAAGTAGAACCTCGATAACATAAAAACCTCCAAAACTTTAAGAAATAATATGTTCTCCAAACAGAGCCCAAAACCTCTACAACATAGACCCTTGATAACTTAAAACCTCTATAACTTAAAACATTTTGTGTTTCCCTTGGACTTTAACTTATCGAGATTCTACTGTAATAAATACATCGTTTTGATTTTTTAACTATTTTTCCCTAAAACAGTAGAACCTCGATAAGTTAAAGTCCTCACGAAATATTTTAAGTTATAGAGGTTTTAAGTTATCAAGGGTCTATGTTGTAGAGGTTTTCGGCTCTGATGGGAGGGGAACATATTATTTTTTGAAGTTATAGAGGTTTTTAAGTTACCGAGGTCCTACTTTAGTAAAAAAACACAATAAAGAGTACATACATTTTGTAATTTGACTTTAAAAATCAGACTTTTAATGCTTTTTTAGGCGTAGTACGTAATTTATGGAATGTTTCTGATAACATAATAACTGGAGAGAGAATGCTCCGCGAGGCGCAGGACAAGTGGTCGAGTCCGCAAAATAAGAGTAAATTGCAACCAGAAAGCAACCGTAAGTACTACGACATAAAGTTCAAATTACAATAACATGAAAACTAACTTGTAAAATAAAAAAAAATATGCCCTATGTGTTTTTGTACATATTATAAATGTTTTTTTTCACATTTTGATTATTATAAATTGAAGACAGTAATTCTATAGGCTTTTTTTTTTAAATTTGAGACACTTTTTAATTATATTAGCACAAATGTTATTATAATTTTCTTTATAGAAGAAGATAAAGAAGCAGACGAGTGTAACGAAAATGCTGCAAATGATAGTTCAGGTAACATTTTTTATTATTTTTTTAAATAGCTGTTTTTTTTTAATTCACTAATATTTAATTCGAATATCGAGATTTGGAGTTACAAATACGTGACTGGAAATAAATATCCTTAACTATTGACGCTTCGTAATTGGCATATTTTATATTTTTTTAAAGACTGTGTTTCCATTTATGGTTTTAATTATTCAAGACTAGTTATCACACGCGGCTTATTCCGTGTGGAATTAAAACAAAAGTAAGTAGCCTATGTGTTCTTCCAGACAAATCTATGTTAAATTTCAATCTACAAACTCTAACAAACATCCATCCAACCATCCATCCATCCAAACTTCAGCATTTTTAACGTTACTAAGACTAACTAATTAACGTTATAAGATATAGGTAAATGGAAGTGACAAAGGGTATATAAAGAACATATATTATAGGTAATTATTTTTTTATTAGATTCTGTAGAAAACCTATAGTTTAGATTTTTATTATATATTAAGGTACTGAGGAGGATGAAGAGAAAGGGGACAAGAAAACTGTTAAACAGATTCTATCTCAACTTTTGTCCAGTAATCAACAAGCTAATCAGGTATTTAAACTTTAATTAACAAAAAAACTTTCTTAAATAATTTAGATAAGTTTGACAATTCATTTCAAATTTAGTAGGGATGGGTTGTGTAATCAGTCAGGAATCTTATCGAATATTGGGTTTTATTCTTATAGAAGTTGGAATCGATAGATTTATAGTTAAAACTTATGAAATAAAAAACACCGTTTTCTCAAATTAATAATGACTATAACAAATAATGAGAGTAAATAAATGTTTATTACTACTACAGCCGTATGTAATCAAATTAGATTTCGCTATTATTTCTGTCATCGCTAAATTTTCTACACTATAATCAATACTAGAATTGTCCTCTAAATTAGTTAATAAGAAAATAATAATTTTAGTTCAGTTCGATAATTTAAACCGAATATCCATAGTTCAAAATTGTTCGCTGCGTGTTTGTTTCGTCACTACAATACCTGTCTATTAAGTATGGCATTTGCCTTCATACAAATTGAATTCAATACTTCATATGCGTCATTTATCAAACTAATCTATCTTATTTAGACACACTATAATAACAATTTTTGTATAACGTAGTTTTAATATTTTAAATCTATCAAGTTAATTTATCCGACCCAAAAATATTATGTACGAAAAAAGCTTTATATTTATTCTAATAAAGTAATTTCAGATCCATTTTAAGCAAACTTTACTTTCAACTGTAAAAGTCAGAGATTTCTAAATTTTTTTAACCGACTTAAAAAAAAACAGGAAGTCGTCAATTCAATAGTGTTATGTATGTTCTTTGATATAAGTGATTCCTTGTTATCGGTCTCACATTTAAAATTAAAAACTACCCAGTAGTTTTTGAGTTTTTTCAAAAAATTTGGATATTTTTGACTTGAAGTCAGTTTTTGTAAGAATCCTTACAATTGTTAACTATAAAGCTGCATGCATTCAACTCGTGTACCTTTAA